GGGGGGGGGGGTGGGGGAACCTGCCTCATTGGGGGTTAAGCAATGCACCGTTTTATAGCCCGGCGGCTGTCGAGGGACTCCCGTGTTTAGGCCCGGCGGCCAATGCATCTGTTGATTCAAAGGGTGTGTCAATGACTTCCAGTGGAAACCTGGTGAGAGGTGGCATGTTGGGTTGGTTGCTTTCCGATGCAAAAAACAGCGCCCCTGTGACGGGGATCACACTCAGCACCCGAGTGGGACGGCTGAGCGAAACACACTCTGACACTTGTATTCAGTGAACTCAGTTACCACGATGGGAAGGATGGCGGTGGAACAGCATGGCGAAAAGTCCGAGAAATTGTAGGTGTTTGAACAATGGTTGTTTCTCTTGACTGCTGTGACGAAGCGGCTCAAGCTGCAGCGCTGCTGGGGAGGAAAAGGCTTAGGGGGAAGTATCATGGAACCACCATGGAAACAAACAAGAGAGATTGGAACAGCGTGAGCAACAGTTTCGGGCAGGTACACGGTCAGACGTCTCTGACCGCATCCCATGACATCACTAGCTTCGTTGGCCAGCGTCGTGATGTCATGCGCTGGCCCCCTGCATGTGACTGAAAAAGGTGGTTGAAAAACTATGGAAGGAGTAGCGGCGGAAAACCCTTTGTCCAGGGGTGGACACACACACACACACACTGGGCCGCCTCAGCCTTTGGTCGATTTCCACGTTTCAATAACTCAAACGGCAAAGGTGATTAGATTATACCAGGACCTGCCCGTCGTGACACTTCAGGACTGGTATATGACCGACACAAACTTGTTCGTGACCTCAGTGACCTCGTCTCAAAGGGTGGGAAGGTCCCCGTCCATCGCTAGTAGGTTGGAGCCCATTACAACAGCAAGAAGCTACTAAGTTGGACACCATCGCTACTATATATGCTACTATTAGATTGCTCTCTTGATAACTCACATCTTCACTGCCGATCTCGTGCCGTGGTGTTTGGTCGTGATCCGCGGTCCGATCGGCAGCAGCAGCTCATGTACAGCATAGCGCTCGGCAACAAAAAGCCTTGCAGCAACAACCTATCTGTCATCTTTGAACAACATCCAAGGACCCAAAGTTGTTGCCAGAACAGGATGAACAAAAATCTTGCAGCTCATTTGGGTACTTCAAAGCTTACTGCTCAGAATGCGTAGGTACTGCCGGAGGTACACATCATCGAAACGATATTGCAAAAATATGAACTGCACACTGCACACCATGCCATGCATTGCAGTTCGCGCAGTTCTGGGCATTCGCACCTATTGCCCCACTGTGCCCCACAGGCCAGCCCCTGTCAAACAAGGTGGAAGGAAGCAGAGGATTCAGTGTCGATGTGCTTGCTTAGTGATTGCATAATGTAGACTCTTGTTTAATGTTACACCCCCCGTTTGGAGTCTAAAACCTCTTTCTATGATTTCATTTGGGTGTTTTTAAATCAAGAGTCGACAGAATAGTTATTTCATACATCCTGAGGTTTGCCAACCTGCGGTCGGAAATGGCCATGTGGCCAGCTCGGAGTGTGAAGGAGATCCAAATGAAGCTCATCACTGCGGACCTCACTCGAAGGAATACCAGCTATTTGGCATCACGAAGAAATAAATGAAATTAGAATTACATCGTGAAAAACACAGCGTCTGGGTCCCCAGGCCAATCGTCCAAACAAACGATTGAAACCTCCAGCATTTGGCCTCACCACAACTCGCCAAGCTTCTTGAGACTCATGGTTTCTTGCACCTTTGGTGTACAAAGTCATGAGTCTTCATCCCCGCTCCATGCATGTATACGGATTGTCTCTGGTGTCGCAGCGTCGCACAGAATCTGTATGTCACGTCTTGTGTCATCTGTCGTCTGCTGGTCTAAGATGCGGTCTTGACAAAGAACTCACGTCGGCATTCTTCGACGATCGCCCTGGATGGAGTGATTGGTCGCTCCGACGAAGAGTGAGGGCGGAGCGGACGAGAAGACGGCAGAGTGGAGATGTTTGTCCGAACAGCGCTTGAAGATGCTTGAAAAGGTGCCTGCCCACTTTGATGCATGTTTCATGTTTCAGTTGAATCAGTATGGAAACACCAAACAAAGCAAGCATACACTTAGATCCAACAAGTCTCCCTGTAGTCTAGGTACTTCCACGTGGCTATTTTGTTTGCTTCTACCCATTGGGCCATTTCCCACTCAGGCTGCCGCCAAACAACGCCAATCGCCCAGATGCCCAGCAGCGCAAAGGTGCCTGGTCCGTCCGACGTCCGACGCGGCGACGGGCGCAGCGAGGTCTGAGCTCACGGGTGCCACAAAATGAAAAGGAAAAAACACCTCTCCCTCCTTTTGAAATACCAGGTTCATACGTTCTTCCAAAACTAAAAGCTCTTTTCAATCAGAGAATCGACCCCCAACATCTCAATCTCATATCTTCGCCCTCCTTTGAGTGACCTGTGCAACCCACACTGCCTTGCTGGAAGGTGGCCCAAGGCAAATGGCCCGGTGGTCGCCTGGATGGCGCTCATCGCTGCTCGAGTCGATCAGTGCGGTCCGGTGTCTATCAGGTAAGAGAGACAGCTTTTTTCGACAAACATGGCACATGGGAGAATATGGAAAACGATGGCACATGTTTGCTTTCCCATTGGATGTCAAAGACTTTTGGAGTGATTTTTGGTTCTTCACATCTTACTTCTTCCCAAAACACCTCTCTTCCGCCCACTCTCGCATGCGGCATGCGCCTCCTGAGCGGATTGACGTTCTCCTCGTGGGCCTGGGCGAAGACGCGTGACTCACCACTCACCACTCTCGTCCGTCCGATCCTCCGGATGCGTCCGGGGGGCTCCGACCGACGGTCCCAGCTCCTCCGGTTGGAAGGTCACCGGTGCAACTGCCTTGGTCGAGCGAGTGATCGAGCGAGAGGCGGCTGGAGGCTGGAGGACATGGCTCTCTCTCTCTCTCTCCCGGATTTCTCATGGTCCAAAGCCGCGAATCAGCTGAAACTTAGAGCTGCTGCAGTGGCACCGAAAAAGGAGTCTGGCATGGCGTCAGCATTGCTCCCTGCGTTTCGAAAAACATCAAGCGTTCTGGATCCCGCCTCTTTTGTCCAACACTGCTTCAAGCAACTGTGTAAGCTCATACCTTTGTGTTCTTTTTCCAGGTCTGTCCATGTCAACTGTGCTTCACTTCCACCACTCTCTCACTTCCTCACGACGCTTCTGCATGCATGCATGCGCGCTCAACGCACCTCGCAAGAGCTGCGTCGTCGCCGCCGCGGCCTCGGTGCCCCACCGAAGCGGCGGACGGCGCGCGCGCGCGCGCGGCGACGGTGGACGGCCGCGCCTCGGCGGCGGAGTGGTGGGAGTCGAGGACGGCGTGCGACCTCACAGTCTCAGAGGATCAGGAGAATGACGGTGGGTTGAGATGGAGAATGACCGGAGCACATGGGAGCACATGGTTTCGGCTATAAAGGCAGCGGAGAAGAATAGAGACCACATGAGACCACTATTATGATTTGGGTGCGAATCTCGTGGTCTACTGAGTCTACTATACGTAAGAAAAAGTGAGTGCGTTTGCAGCGCAGGGTCCACTGATTGGGTCCGAAGGTCCATCGGACGGTTCATGGTGCAGGTTCTACATCATTGTCATCATCTGTCCCATTGGGATCTACCTTTCTGTCTCATATCATTCTCCAAATTCCGAATAACAAAAAACACATCTTGTCTTTGCATGTCTTTGCCATGTTCTATCCTGTTCCATTGCTTTGCATTGAGTAGCTTTCACAGATTCCTGAGATTCTACCCGAAACCAAGCCCAGTGCTGTTGCTGCTGTTGCTGCTTTTCCTGCACAATCAGGGTTGCTAGCGCCTCAGGACGCGGATCGCATGGTCAATGAGTCCGCAAGGATCACTCGAAAGATCCGAAAGAACGAGTACCATTGCACCAACAAGCAACAGGGCACGAGTACCTTTTTGCAGCAACAAGCACCCATCTGCCTTATCAATTCCAACAAAGTATGCGTGTCCGCAACACATTTAAGTCATTGGCTGCGGATTGAACCGCAAACACCGAACATGAACCACACAAAAGGGAAGAAAACCCGACACTTTACAACAGTTTATACCAACTGATCATCCAAAGCCTCATCTAACCAAACGGAGCGGAAAAAGGGAACAACAAAAACACCGCGCCGTCGACTGCACGGGCATGGCTTCCGCTGCATCACTGAGCACTACACCTGCACCTGAGAGGCCAAGGTCTCAATGGCTTCCTCCAACTTGGAGAGGTCCGAGGTCAAGTCTGGCGCCTCAGAGCGATAGCATGCGATAGCGGTAGCCAGCGAAAGACAAAGCATCAAACGCAGGGAACAGGTGAAGTTAGCCCAAAGAAGAGAATTCCGTTGAAATTGAGGGAGTTCTTTCTCAAAGCCAAGGGTTCGAATGGACAAGATTGGGGCAAACTGGAACATGAGCATGATTACAAGGGTCAAACACAAAGTCCATTTGGGCACGGATCTATTGATCGCCAAAAACCATTGCGCCATGGACTTTCGATTATGGACCACCTGCGCCATTTTGGCACGGATCTTCATCTGCAAATCAAACGATGGGAGTGAGGCATCTACTTCTGCATCACATACTGAAGAAAAAGCATTGGCATTGCCGACATCCCAAAAAAACAGCTATCGCTCCCATCAGACTCGGGCAGAAGGCATGGTCCATTTGCTTTCGCCGCTGTCCGGGTCGTACCAATACCTTGGGGAGCGCCGAACCAACTCCGGCGCGATGGGTCGTGGCGGGTGCTCCGGGTCGTGGCGGGCGCAGCCGAGAAGCTCCATGGCATGACCCGAAGAGTTCCACTCCAATTGCAGCCATACCTCGAGCAACACAAAATGGTGGGAAGGTCCGTTCTGCGGCGGGGCCAAGGCTGAGAAGACGGCTGTGGTGCCAAGCGGAGGACCGCCCTACGCATCGTTCTCCAGAAATGACGAGTGTAGAAATCACTGGAAATCTGGTGTAGTAGCGTCCTTGCTACTAGTAGTAATGGCCTCCAACCTATATAATAGCGATGGCCTCCAACCTAGTAGCTTCTTGCTACTAGAGTCTCCACAGGACTCCAAGGTTTCGACCATCAGCAAGTCACTCGATGTCTTTGTTTTGTTCAGGGTGTCCATCGACAGTCATTCCTACCACTGTCTTGTGTTGTGCTACAAGAAGCACCTGATCGAATTCCCGGCTTAGCCAGGCTGAGAATTAGAATGCGAAACAATAGGACCGCTCCAGTTCGCTTGCACTGCCATCTCGCTCATGGGACTTTGTCCTGCAATACCATTTTTGAGCATCTGCACTCATGGCAACACACAAGTTTTCCAGGTGGTTGCCTCTGAAGCATCCAACTATCCATCGGAGTGCCTGATCTGTGTTGATATAGCAAGGCACACAGCAAGGGCAACAAACAGTCCTGCGCCCCCAAGCCAACAGAGACGGGATCCAATGTGATCTCATTGGCAGTCCAAAGAAAGCCTGAGTGACGCTTGAGCGCACACAGCCGCGGGGGTTGGCGATGCTTGGTGTTTTGGCTGTGTGCTGACAGGGTCCGCGTGTGTGTCGTCCCTGAACTTTGCAACCAGGACTGGAGAGCGTATGTCTTCTGCAGAACGTCTACATTCTTCGGTCCGTCCAAACGTTTTCCAAATTTGTAGGGATGGTCTCCCCAGAATTGCCGTGACGGGATCACTTGCTTGTCAATCTTCTTGGGCTCCTACTATAGCTCGACATAACTGTGTTGCATGGTCCAAGCACAGCGAAAGGAAGCAACTTGTTAAACACATCTTCGGCCAATTCTGAAGATTTTTGGAGTGCACTCTTTTCTCTATATAGTTACTACTGATGACCATGACTTAGTAAGCTAAACAAAAAAAACACTTTGAAGCACCTCGGTCCATTCCCCCAAAATAAGACACACTCCGGTCTCCACCTCGGTCCGAGTCGCTGAGGGCGGCGAAGACTTGCGCGGCGGAGCAAATCCAAAGGAGATGGATTCCGATGTTCACTCCGCCTTTCGGAATCCGTGTCGTGGCCCCGTCTTTCGGCCACCAACCCGCGCCGCGCGGGGATCGGGTGGGTCGCGTCGCGTGTCGAAACGCCGCGCGAGGCGTTTCTGTGTTCGGGTCTCGTGTGGTGTTGTCTCTTGTCTGAGAAACGGGAATCGAGGAGTTGGAGGATTGGAGGATTGGAGCTTCTCAAAAAGCAAAATGAGATCCGGTCTTCTGGTAGCAGCATGTAACCAGCGTAGCAGCACATCTATATAGTTAAGTATCAGCGCATCTTGTTCAACAGCCATCCACATCCCGCCTAGGTGAAATCACATCGGCTCTCGTTTTCTCGATTCTTCTCTCGTGGCCTGGATCCAGGATGCCCACCATGGCTGGGCCCAGATTCCCCACCAGTGCCGCAACACCCAGAAGCATGGAGGTGGCTTGACCTGTCGCAGTAGTAGCTGGCAGGGTGTTCACACGTTTGCCAGTGTTTTGTTTTTCCAGCGGTTTGGTGTCCAAGCAATTCTGTTCTGGGGTCGAGAGCACATTTCAGACTTCTGTGAGGAACCCAAATGGCTTTTGTTCAAAATTGGGAACCTGACACTTAAACCTCCAGAAGGAAAACAAAGTGCACACTGTTGGCTCTAGCTTTCCGAACAAGCCCCCATTGTTCTGGACACCTTGCTTTGTCCATCTTCGATAAACTTGGACACCCGGCTAATATTTCTTATACCAGGACGCGTGTGGATTTTTCCAGCAAAAGGATGGCAGAAGATGACTTGATGTTACTTGTCCAAGTTCCATCATGCTCCTACTCTTCAGCATGAATACCTCTCTCATCCTCTCTCACACTGGTCACTGCAGTCCGAATCTTTGCTGACACTGTGATTCTTTATGAAACACAAGCTCTAGCTCAGGGGCCACAGACACCCATGCCTTGTCATCTTCTTTAACGTCATCTGTCATAGATCACTGTGCTTCACATGAACAGAGGCATCGATCTGTCTGCCTCTCCGACTGCCGAGAGATCGAGAGATCCAGAGATCGAGGCACCGAGATGTACCGAGGCACCTCGAACTGAAGATCGCAATGCAAGCTGTAGAAGGTTCATGGAGGGTCCCAGGAACGCGTCACCAATCACCAGCACTGCGAAGTAACCTCGGAAAAAAAAAAGACTTAAGATGGATGGAAACAGTGTTCACACGGTGCAGTCACGAGGAAAAAGACCATCACTGAAACAGTATAGTGACTGAGTGCTGGAAAACTGTCTGCGAAGTCATTGATCGTGCTTTTGCAATCTCAAGATGTCCTATACTTTCAAACGGTCTTCATGTCTGATTTCTTTTCGCACTCTGTGATGCATAGGACTGAATAGATCCAAGGGGCAAAGAAGGGACGTTCTAAAGTACCTTCGCAAAGAAAGAACAACTCCGGAATCTCGAGAAGCAATCTCTCAAAGTGCACAAGAATTGTCACACCTCTCTCTTTCACGGCTGCAACAGTATAACACGGGCTCCAGACCAACACCCTGAAGGGATCCCTTCTTCTTCGCAATAAAGCTTCTTGTTCTTTCTCCACGTCCAAGGCACTGGGTCAAGAGCATCATGAAGATCAATGGAAGGGAGACCAAAGCTCCCATGAGCCCCAGGAAGCACGGCGCTCGCACATCCCGCCGGCTCCAGGTGTGTCCTGCGTGCGCAAAGCACCGGTCTCAGGTCCACTGAAGACGTTTTGGGATTCCTTTTTTTCTGACCCACAACCCTTCTTTCTGACCCATATCCTTTT